GTGGTATGGAATAGCCCTTTGGCCAGTTTGGGTCAGGTGTCCTGTCTCTGCTTCCTCCCGGCTTCCCCTCCTGCCTGGCAGAGCATGAGACTGAGAAAGTCCTTGGTCGGAGTAAACATTACTTAGCAACAACTAAAAACATCGGTGTTATCAGCATTGTTCCCAGACTGAAAGTCAAAAACACAGCACTGCACCAGCTACTAAGAAGGAGAAAAAATGACTGCTGTAGCTGAACCCAGGACACTTGAGTACATTTCTTTATCTCATCAGAATTGCTTATATACCTTGGCTGAACTGAGATTTCAGACTGAAGTAGTTTTAAAGCCCCAAGACAATGATTTCTTCCTCTTCCTTCTCCACCTTCAACAACTACCACACATCCTTTCCTCACATCCAACCTCAAAAGGATTTTGTCTTGCTTAAAGCAAACAGAAGCAGTTTTTCTTTTTTTTTCTTCTTCCTAAAGGAAAACAAACCCCCAAAATGTTCTTAATCTTGCCAAGAAATTAAAACAGAGCTAGGCTAAACACGTAAGTATGGCACAACCTTCTCTAATTCCATTTCCACATTATTTTGAGCATTTTTTTTAAATGTTTGTTGGCATTATCTGGTTTGTACATATCCTCCCTTCTAAACTGTGAAGTAACTCTCACTCTGCTGTCTTCTGGGGTGGTTACAGCTCTGTGTGCAAACATATTCTCCTCTCTGTTCTGAGTACTTCCTTTCATTTCTGTGTCCTCCTAAGCACAGCTTTAATCCATCAATTGGACACAGGCTATGTCCCAGCATTATCACTGGTTAAACCATTTAATCCATCTTTCAGCTTTTTCACATGGACAATGAGGTATAGATTCATACTACTATGAATAGTACATTATTTATTTAAAAATCTACTTACCAGCACTTATTTGCTCTTTTAGTATATAATACATAATAACGTGATATATGCAATTACATGCTGGTAGATATCTAAGATCAGATAGGCTTCAGCATTCAAAGAACAGGCTCAGTTCTACAGATCTAAACCAAACCTGTCATTCACAGTTTTTGTGCAGATACCATCACTTCAGAGTGGGGAGGGAAGGGCAATGTTGAAAGGAACTCCACCTAGACTGATGGAACAAAGAAGAAAGATATGTTTACTTTAGGCTCTACTCTGCTACCATCTCATGATGGCACAGAAAATTCAGTTTCTTAATAAAAGTATTAATAACTTTTCATGAAAAGGCAGATTCAGCAGACAAGAAATAGAAATATGAAGATTTTGAGTATATCTATGCAAGATCCTCCAGAAATGCAACACTCTACTATGCATTAAAAATGTAAGTATTAAATAAACAAACACTTAAAAACAGAATAATTGTTAATAACTCTATGTAATGACTTTCTCCCTGAGTTAATATTTAATTAACACACAGCTAAGATACCTGTGAAAACCTAGTTTAGATCAGCTTTGTTATTTCCATATTAGAACATAAGAGATCTAAATAAATGTAGTAATATTTTATTGATCACAAACATAATACTTCTTTCAGCAGTTAAAATGCATGATGATTCATATAAACAAAATGAAAATAAAGCACAACCAAAAAATAACTTCACATTTTTTCAACTTCATTCTTAGCGTAAGCAATAAATACAGTGCTGTAGCTTCTATTAATCTTATTTACAGAGCACAATACTTGAATGTTGCCTGGTTTCCAGCCCAAATGTTTCATGACATGAAAAGGAGTACGTGTTGCAGCATTTCTATGGCCAAATACTCTAGTAGATCATCACACAGTATAAATGCTAACATTAAAAATCAAACAGTTGAGAGGACCCTGCAATGGAGCGTTTTATTAATTGAAGACAGTAGCATTAAAAATAGACATTCTCTCTCATATATCGGTGTTATAGATACCAAAGACAAGTATTTCTGTAGCCCCTGTAGACTGATGCAATAAATCCTCACTAAAGAACAACAAAAAAACCCCCCAAAAAACTACAAAAAGCAAATAAGATAACTTCATGTTCAAAGGAATCTCATAGCCCCAACAAAAGAGTTTATTTCCATCCCAGAGCACACAGGTAAGAACTACAACATTCTGTAAAGTAGAAAATAAGGAAAGAGAAATCAGCATAAAGATCTGATTTTAATTTATGATGATAGAGAAACATTTTAAGAAGCAGACCCTTCTCATGATTGTGTAGGAACTGAAAAGGGTGAGGTAGGAAGGCAAACTAAGGAATTTATGTTTTCTAATGCAAAATAGGAAATAGGTTAGTTAACCTCCTGAGAAGGGGAAAACATAGCTCTCCTACGCCATGTAACCCTCCACAGCTACATTTTCTTGCATATCCAGCTGTATGTGTGCTTAATTTCCAAAGTGCAGACGTGCACAGAAGCATGCTGCAACTGTCCAGCTAGAAGTAAGAAGATTTCTGTAGAACAGTTTTCCCCCTAAATTACCATTACAAGTTTCTCTAACAGAGGACAGGGAGCAATTACCAACTAATACTTCACATCATATGAGAAAAATTTATAGGCTGTTAAATTTGAACTAGCTGAGAAGGAAGCTTAATTCAAAGTCCAATATTGTATCACGCTCTATAAAGTGTCATATACACTACAACAACTCAATAGGTACCATGAAATAATTGCCTGATAATATGCCATAAAAGACTTGAAAACACTTTTAAATGGGCAGATGTCTGCCTGGGCTTTGATCCTCAGCTGGTACCCATCGATTTTTTGAAAATGGAACTCAAGACAGATCTATACCAGTTGATGATCTGGTCCCCCAGTATGAAGCTGTTCTATCAAAGCAGGGATTTCTTACACCACTAATATTTCCAGAACATTGCACACACCTTAAGTAACACTACATAGATCAGCAAGCACAGTTGTAAGTAAATTCTAATCATGTTGTAGCAGATCCTGTTACTGTATTCTTAAAATTTAAGAGATTGTGACATCTGACTGCCAGATTTCAAACTATTCTAAAGTACAGAATCCTACCAATTTTCAAATCTTTCTCATCAATCAACAGACAGCCGTGCAGAAGAACAGAAATCTTGATCCATGCATTCTAGCTAAGATTCTATATTATGAAACTAAATCATTAATAAAACAATTTCTATATTCAAAATCCAGACATAAGAACTGTAAAAAACTACAGAAAGGTGCAGTGGCACGCTTCCTCCTAATGTTTTCTTTCTCAATACAAAGCATTTGAAGCCATATGAAGTCACAAACTAATGAACAGTGTGACAGCAAAATAACTAGATGCTAATGAAGCTTACAGAAAGGCTACTGACAAAAATGTTTAAATGTGAAAGTCAAGTTGTTCATATCCACAAGTAGGTGTTTAAAACTGAAGTGGTGTCAGAAGAACTCTTTCATTCTTTTGACTGTCTTACATGCACCAGATAGATGAACATTAAGTAGCATAATTGTCTATCAATCAATCAACTCCAGCACTACTTTTCTTCTACTTCATTTTGGTTTTTACCTACTTGAAGTAGATTTATCGGCAAAATAAACCAATAACACTTTTTTCTACCTTGGTGATTTTCAGTAAGACTTTTCTAACCTCAGGTCATGCCCTCATTCTTGAGCATTTTCATCATTTCACTTAAGAAAACTACAATTTCCTTAAAACATAAAGATTTACAAAACCATAGATTACTAAAGACACATTTTGCTCAAGACTTTCCTGACAACCTCCTCATTTTCAGTGTGATCTTTATTCCTCACCAGAACCAACAAAACAACTTATAAGTACTGTTCAAAGCTAAATAACTGAGCTAGAGATTCAGAATCAAGCATTCCAAATAATATTAAAATTATCAATCCATAATGTTTTGAATCCTTGTAAGACAAACTTTATATTGGGTCTTCCAAATAATGACAATTACTAACATTAGGTTGCTTGATTAGCCTGAATCTCATACACTGGCTTTAAAGGTAGTATGACATTTGCACTGTATTCAGTCTTGCAGGCTTTTTTTCCAGACAAAAAGCCACCACAAAATTAATCAAAACTTTGCCCCAAGAATGAAGGAATGTGTTATCAAGCATATAGCCGGGGAAACACTTAAAAATAAAACAACAACATGACTAGAATAAATTCTATACATGAGCTTTTCCCAGCTGAGTAAATTCCTTACGCATACAGTGAAGTTCCATCAGCTTCAGTTATGTGTTAGTGCATGGAAGGATTTGCAGTTATTCAGGTTACTACTATTCTTCCTAGCAGTAAGGCCTCCTTGATCTTGTCTGTGTTAGAGTCAATAAGAAGTTTCCATAAACTTGATAAGGAGACACACCTGTATATGCAAAAATAGTTTGAATAAAACTGCTCAAAGCGTGCTGTGACATATTACATTAATAATATTACAGAAGCAAGTAAAATCTCAAATTTGCACTGGTGTCCCCTATGCTTGATTTAAAATAGTGGAAAAAAGAAACCAGCCAAACCAAACTTTCAGTATCTGTGACCAAACCAAATGATCAGTGCCTGAATGCCTCAGACTACCTCTTGGGCTTTTTGACAGTCAAATGCTGGACACAAAATTAACATGGGCAATCTATTGTTATTATTGCACCTACTTTAACCATTTTCTTTTGTTCTGTTTTAGGTTGAATTAAGACAATACAGTATGGTATTTACACTCCAAGATTCTATAGGCAAGTGAAGTGGCATCAACACAACACAGTCTCATACAAACTTCCAAGAAGAAAAACAAATCCTTCATTGATTCCCTTTGTACAAAAAATTGCCAACTTTGTCTACACAGTAGAAACTGAAGAGGCAAAGTTTGTATCCTCATATAAATGCACATACATATATAGATATATATGTACAGATGTCCATACTATATAGATACACAGAAACACAAACATATGTATATATACATACATATGAAAAACGTGTTGGGTTAGTTTGCATCATTCAGGGGAATAACATATCCCAAGTTCGCTAAAATCTTCTGGCCATGAAGTCATTAAATCAAACTTGGAGTTCAGGAGGATAAGCACAGTGGCATAGGCCAAGCCTTTGGTAGTCAACCATACAGCTTTTCGGTTTTTAAAACAACACTCTCCATGTCATGGTAGCCCTTCCCATTTAAATGTTCACTAGCACAGTCGTGATTGTAGCTGTAGCCTTGAACATCGCTGATGGACGATACGGTGTAGGAAGCGGTGCGCATGGCATCTGAGTGGCTAAAGCTGTGCTCAAACTGGATTTTGTACTGATTCCAGTGTCTTCTCAAAACAGCTTGGACCTGTGCCAGAAAGCAAAAAGAAATACGTATGAAACGCTTGGAAAGATAGCACTGGACTTCACTCTTTGATGCATGGGGGGCCATAATAGATGTATCTAAGCAAATTAGGTAGTAAGCCTGAGTAATCCTGGAAAATGGGGGTACCTACATGTGATCTGTCACATGACATGCTCTGAGAGATTTACAGTTTAAGCAGAGACTATTCTTTGGCAAATTTGGTATAAAATAATCACATTTTACAATGGTAGTGTACTAGTTGCTTAGGAAAAGCAAAGACTACAGGAGGAGCAGCAGCAACACAGTTGCTTTCTCCCCTGTGGACTAAAGTCTGGTGTGGACAGCTCAGCTTTACAAGTGAAAAAAGTCACTTCTATTCACTTTTATATTCAAAAGACTACATCCTTAGCAACTGTAAGTTTTTATACTCTCAGCAAACCATAATTCACATTTGCTCTTGTTCTGGCACAAGAAAGCCTTCCTTTATTTCTGACCATACCTAAATCAAATGAATAGCAGGACAATTTCCCAGACTCTGTGTTTCTACCAGGGTTAAAAATAAAGCAGATAAAATAGCTGAAGGCCTTAGGCTCACATGTCTCCACGGAAGGGATGTTACGTTTACCAGAGCCTTCCTCTCCTGCAATATAAACACCTTATGCATAGGGGATTGATCAAGTCTCACATTCCTGAAATTCAGAGGGAATTAGTCACTCTGTGAAGGTGCCAAGTGCGGAATGATAATGATGGCAACAGCTATCATGTTGCTTTTTCAAGAGGGTTTTATTTTAATGTTAAAAACACTGATCATGCATGTTTAATTTCCTTGTCAGCCAAGTCTGCACACAAAGTATTCCTGCACTGACTGGCAAGGCACTTTCAGAAACTGCTGGGGGGGACACTGGCACTCACATTTATCCAGCAGTGCACCCCACATTCATAGGCCTCGTTCCCAAGCATGACCTTCATTTCACTTTGTTACATACAAAAGAACTAAACAGTGAACAGTGATTTCCCCAGTTAAATGTTGATGTTGTGGATAAATATTTTTAGGATTTTCCATATGTCTTCAGGGTTTCTTTTGTGTTTGCTTTACGTTTCCCTAACACAAGGGCTTCCTTTGTCTGATTTTACTCTGGCTTTAATTATGAAAAATAAATAGAAGAAAATGGATGTAATTTTTAGACTTCCTGCAGTCTGGTATCAAAATCCTCTTTTTAAAGGAGAGTTTTATCTTGCTCAAAATCCTTACAAAGAAAATACGAAGGCATAAAGGAAGAAGTAACATAAGAAATTAGTATTTTAGGGCATAGGAGATGCTCTTTGACCATTCATAAAACCATTCCAATTCACTCAGAACATCTAAACACAAATCTACAAACACTGAAATCAAGTGTCTTAATACTGCTGAGTGTTAGGAGTATCTAAGTATCTGATTTTACCAAAATTCTGTATTTCTTCCAAGTCTAAATGGAGAATTCTTGTTTCATCACAGGAAATTTTTGATTAATTAATTTACATTGCATAGCAATATAGACTCTTAAATCTTCACACAGGTTCAATCCATTCCCTGTAATCCCTCATAAATCCAAGACAAAAGCCATATTCAAAATACCTACTTTCCAAGAAGGAAACTTGGAATTTATTTTTAAATCATATCACACAGTCTGTGCGTATCACTAAGCTATAATTCCATTTGTTTTCCTTTCCATAGTAAATTACCTCAATAAGATTAATGCCTTCTTGTAGACAAACACGCAAAAAATTACATATTGAGCAGTTGTCACATTAGACAAGACAGGCTTGAGATGGGGTAATACGAGCAACTGCAACTTCACGGCTTAACCAACATCACAGAAGCCTGTTGGCAGAGCGGGGAAATAAACTAGACCTGCCAAGCTGCAAACAAGCCTTGCACTCAGGTCCTCTCCCACACTTCCTCATGGTTGCTTCAGTAACTCTTGTTTATTTATCTCTTAAATTGTTACTAATATTTGTAAACCAGTCCTAAAGGGTCCCCATAGCTCAAGAAAGCCATCAATATCCCTGCCAGACAAGGGCCTTTGGGCTACTTCTAGGGAGAAAACAGCCTGTTTAGCTTGCTCTCCAGCCAGTGACAGGTTGCTATAAATAGTGTTTCCTGTATGGGCAACCACCACTTCCTTTGCGCCTGCGCCAGTGCCCATCATGGTCTCATGGTTCATTTCTAACTAAGCGATGGATTTCTGGCATTCTTCCCATATCCTCTCTGTTACTGCTGAATCACCTCTGCCCTGCTATGTGTCTCTATTCCTGCAGGGTGTTACGAATCTTTCAGTCTTCTCTAAATTGTCCAGTCATTTCTAGAAGATGATGGGAAAACTCCATGACACAACTGATTTTCACCACTAATTATACGCTCTTCAACAATATGCTTGTCTACCTGTGAAGTGAAAACTTGAACTTTTTTAAAATCACTCACTTTTTTTTCCTCAGCTTTGAGCAGTTGCACAAAGCTGTAAATTCCACTCAGGAGGGGTAGCACTTAGTTCTGAGATAGAACTAAGATAATATCTAAGGAAGGATATTAAGCAATCATTTAATGAGAGAAAGTAATGTAATAAATAGAAGTTTCTCAGTCATTAAGAGAAACGCTAGTTCCACCTGGATGATTGTTACTTTTTCAACTTACTAGTTAGTAATAGCTCTTTTTGGGGAATTTTCATGAAAGGCTCCTTCCAATCAGCCCTTTAACAAAGTAGATAATTGATGTTCAATACAAGCACAAATTAAACAGCTAACAAATTAAACAGTAGCTGGCAACAAGAGAAAAAAAACCCCACCAGCCTTGCCTAGTAATAAATGGATGGCATAATCCTGTGGACCTGAGACTATTGTAGAATGGCTTTGGGGGGGAAGGGCCTTAAAATTAGGTTCCACCCCCCTCATGGCATAATCCTGTGGACCTGAGACTATTGTAGAATGGCTTGGGGTGGAAAGGACCTTAAGATTAGTTCCAACCCCCCTGCCAGGGGCAGGGATGCCTCACACTAGACCATGTCTCTGATGGCTCTGTCTAACCTGGCCTTGAACACTGCCAGGGATGGAGCATTTACCACTCCTTTGGCCAACTTGTGCCACTACCTCACCATCTTTACTGCATCCTTTCTGTAGATCACTGGAAGGAAATAAAAAAATCCAAACATTACAGACATTACACGGATCATGTAGGTCATTATTATCACCTGTTAATAATAGCTCAATAGGAATCTTTCTACTGATTTATCAGAGATCTGGGACAAACTCCTCCTGTGACTGCAGCCTGTGTCACCTCAAAGGCCACTCTCAGCCAACTCAAACTGGAAAATATGGTACCTTACTTTGTGGGATGCTGGGACATAAGCAGAATGTGGGTGTCCTCTGGGAAACCTTGCCACAGAAGATAAAGATGAAGAGTTTGCACATACACCCTTGTCTGTAGGAGGCTTGTGACTAACAGCTGCAGTACATGTCAGAACTGGATTTGACAGACCAGCACTGCTCAAGAAGTCTGGAGATGTTCCTTGGCTACAGTCAGCAGGACATACCAGCCATTTTTCTTACACTTCTTAGTTTCCTTTCACTAGAGCTCTCTGTTAGTAGACCACTTTTACTCATTTTTTGGCCAGAGGTGGCCTGCAAGCCACCACTTGAGGAGGGTTTGGCTCCTGGTATTCGTTATAGAAAAACATTAAAAGGTACAGTAGCAGTTGGGAAATGCTAAGATGCTTTTAACATTTTTAATTGCTAACGCCCCACTGTCACTCAAAGCACCAATTCTAGTTTCAGTATTCTGCCAGAAGCAGAATCCTTTCCTAGACAAAGAAAACACTTTTTTCTGTGCAGACATTTTTCCCTAACTACACTGTCATTCTCCCCATGAATTTCCTTACTGATGCAGTTGTTTATAAAGTAGTAAGTCCCTTCTTGAACAAAGTGTAATACAAAAAAACCCAAACAGTGGTCAATGAAGCAGTAACCCCCAAACAGATTTAAAAAGCATAAATTTCCACTCTGTAGAGAGCAAATACAGCCATGTATGTTTAACTGACAAAGTGAAGGCATAGTGCCTAAAAATTAAATGTCTAAATTAATAAATGTCAAAATGCCAAAATCTTCCTTTCAGTATTACCCTGCTGGCAGTTTTTTTAAGGAGTGATTCATGTGTTACCACTTGAAGGAATTGTGAGAGCTTGTCTTTTACCACTGCTTAGCCTGTGGTGAATTTAGCATACTGATTTGATGGGATGACTCAGGTTTGCTTTTCATACAGCAGAAGAGAGCGTGCAAAAAATACGAGTTTGTAACAATGGAATATTAACAGATACAATTCTTACTGACTATATCATACTTTAAATTAGGGGGTTGTCTTGTTGAAGTAATAAAGTAGCCTCAGAAGATCCACAAGAATTAAAGGACAGAACCAAGCAGTGGACAATGTTGTTTCATGGAAACTGCAGGGATTTCAAGGGTTTTTTCCACACCCATTTTACGCTGGAGTAGAACAAAGTATTGCTTTGATTTTTTTTTCTAAATACCTGGTTTTAGAAGGCATTCTGAAGTATGAAATTTAGATATATATTGACGCTGAATATGGTCAAGTGATCAAATCAGATCCAGAACACTTAATGTTGTGCTCTGCTTTGAATTAAATACATAAGCAGGGACTTGAACCCAGATCTACTTTACGTTAAATCAGATCTAAACCACTGCCCCGTGCCAACTAAAGTGGGAGAAATCCCACCTTCATCTTTTCTGCCCCCTTGGCAAAATCATTGAGCATCATATATTTTTAGGCTGGGGTGGTGGAAATAAACCATGCAACCCCATGGTAGTTTCATTGCAATTCAGACGGCTTTGGACTTGAGAAGGAAGGGCGATCTGCATGAATCAGTTCTCAAATGAGCCAAATATTTACTTCTAAGTAAGTATTACTGTCCAATAACATTATATAAGCACACCGATATGATTTTATAACATCTGATAGAAGAAAATAAGTGTTCAGTGATATGAAAACATCTGGTTACTCCCACACATCTGCTTACAGCCATGTACTACAGCTGCTCCAACTGCAGAAAAAAAACATACAGACAGATGGGTAGGAATAAGTGTATGACTGTAATTTTTCCTCTGTCAAAAGCGTTGGAAAAGAACCAGCTAGTTCTTCTGGTGGGGGATTTCTGTTCACTTGTTTTGGGCTGTTTTGTTTTGGTTTTTTTCCCCCCAAGCAAAAACCATATTAACAATTTTGTATATGTATCTTCTAGCTTTTCTACCATTTCGATCTCTGACACTGTGAAGCCCTGTAGATGTTCTCTCTACAGTTTAGGGGCAAGAGTTTCTAGATGAAAGTCACTGTGTGTACTCCAAGACCTTGATCTATTCAAGATAACAGGAATGCTTGTTAGCTTCATCAGGATCAGTACCACATATGAAATATGGTACAATCCTTTAACGTAAGAATAAGAAAGTTTGTTCTTGAAACTGCATGATGATGGTTTCTTAAAAGCGTGCTTCTTAATCAATGCAGTTTTCTGATCCAAACACAATGAGCTATTAAGTTTTGATTTTTAAAATTATATTTTTCAGCTGTGTGGAAAAACTTCTCCAAACTTCAGCCTAAAATTCTCCTGAAGAGCTGTTATAAAATGAGCACAGCAGCGTGCTTGCAATATGCTCTATTCCTCCTGAAGACCTATACACTGATTCTCCAGGCTAGCAGATGTTGTACAGCTTCTGACATAGACAGATAAATTGGATACTGAACATACTTCTGGATACTGAATTACATTTCATTTTTATATGATATTTATTGAGAATTTATATCAAAGTGACAAGTGTCTTCAATTCCTTATATAATCAAGAGGCATGTAGATTGCTCAGCACAAGAGAGTCAGTCCTACAGTATTTAATGATGCCACAAATGATGGCACTGTCTATCCCATGCTCTGCTCTTGGCAGCCAGATACTTATTTACTTATTTTTTACCTGTCAAATTTAGATTTAGAAAATAAAACTACCATCTCCTTAATTGCTGAAACAAACAACAAAAATATATAAAAAGGAAAAGTGTTACAAATATATATCAAAAGTTATTACTCTACCTCTCCATTAAAGAAGCAGAAGATTGTAGCCACCAGTAGACCCTGTAAAACAAAAATAAATGTTCTGCTTTATTTCACATGCATATGGGGTTTTTTTTAGGTTTGAGAGAATTAGGGGTTTCTGATAAAATTCAGCTATAGGTAGCAAAGAAAGTGCAGTACAAATCTAAACTTGGTAAATTATTTCTAGAAATTCATTACTAAAAAGTCTTGGGCCAACTATCGATGATGATGTTTCTATCCTTTTGAGAAATTAAATTTGAGCAGAATGAGAAAGTTCATGACATTCATAATAATATTGCATCAAGGTCTTTAAAAATGAAAATAACACAATCATTTCTTTTATTTGCTTCACATTCCAGCTGCTATCCAGCTCATGTAAGCAAAACCTATTTAATGCTTCCTACCTGATAATGCATGAGGATGTGCATCACGTAGTCATAGACTTCCTCAGCAATCCGGCCTTCTGGTCGCCATGGAAACAGGACAAACTCAATGCCAAGCAGCGGGACAAGGATCAGGGTAGCTCTCACTGCTTTCATGTACAGGTTGGATTCTGCTTTGTGGGTGTCTTTCAGCTTTGTTATGAGAACACGAACGATATTTAGCAAGAAGAAAAGATTCACCTGTTGGAAAAGGAAGTGAAACCGAAGGTCTGAAAAATCATCCCAACAGCTGGTTTGTGATTTTAAAAACTCAGACAAATGAAGAAAACTCGTACCACATGGATAGTACTATGATTGTGCAATAAATACAAGTTAAAACTCTTTGAGAACACGTTAAAGGACTGAGATGCGGCTCTAACATCTGATACCCACATCTATCCCTCTAATTTACTAAGCAAGTGTCAATCCAGTTAACCATTAGTCTTCCAGCATTACCAATCCACACACCATTCTCTCTGCTATCACAGTAACAGTACACAGGTAAATGATTAGGTTTTGAAAAATTATGTCTTTTCAGGTTGGGCAAGAAGAGGATGACACTCTTCCTTCTATATTTTTAAACATGGTTCTTCAAAAAGCTGCTTTTTTTTTTATTTTCCCAATATGAATTTCATAAATACAGAGAAAAAAAACCCCACCCATATTTAAAAAAATAAATAAATAAATTGCAGGCAAAATGCTGAACTTGCTTATTTCCATCACTATTAAGGCTTTTCTTGTTGACAGCAGTGTGTATCTGTTTGTTCAGTTTGAGAAAAAATCTCAACTATGCAGATTGTATCGGATGTGTGAGCACTCACCATAAGCAAGCACAAAACTCATACACACATATGTGTATGTGTATACGTATAAATTTATATATACACCC